GAAAAGCCATGGAGAAAAAGCTCTAGAAACCAAGCCTGATATAGACGAGGAATGTTGCTACAGAAAAAGTGACAAATGTGAATTTTTCAGAAATCAAAGAGGTGAAAGTAAAAGGTGAAGGTAATGGAGTAAGTGTTGTTGTGGACAAAATATTACCCAATTCATATTAATAAAATGTCTCTTTACTCAGCATAACCACAATCAGCATTATTCAACCTTATACGTGATTTACCTAAAATGGCCGCTAGGGAGTTTCCCTTTGACATCGACTAACACCCTCATTAACAAGATGGCGCTGGAATCTGGGGGTGACCTCCAAGATACCAGTGACATCACACCCGGTAGGAAGGGCACTAAATGAACCACTTAACACCTAACCAATTATTGATGTATTATTCCATGTTATCTCTGACAATGCATATGATGTAATTTTGCTTTATAAGGGGCATGCCATCCCCCCAGAATAAACTTTCCTCAAGTTTTTCATTAACCCGAAACTTGTGTCTGCTGTGAATTACTTTAGGAGCGTGCACGCATCTTTTTAAATTTGGCCGGGGGCAGATACGCAAGATAATCAATTGATTGATTGATTGATTCCACATCAGTGTATTGGTTTTTCTGCCAAATATTAAAAGCAGTTTTCTCATTAAATAAATAAAGTTTGATGTCTCACCGAGAGCGGACACTCAACAAGAGAGGATTACCACTTTCAATGGGACAGAGTCAGTGTGGGTAGTACCACTCTACCCAGGGTATGAACCCCAATATAGACTTGAAAAAATATATACTGGAGAAAGCTCTATCCAAAGACAGAGCCCCCTAGTTGGTAGGTAAGAAATGACAGACAATAATACTCTCTAAAGGTTTCTAAATGTAGTGTGATTAGATAAGGGTATAATTGATTTCCCACTTTCAAAAATTATGGGAAAGGGATATAGGTCACTCCAACGACCTGTGTGTGTGTTTGCTTACTTTATGGTACACTCCCTCAAGGGGTTTATTCCTGCCAGAGCTCCACAAAAGGAAATTAATCTATGCCAACACATATTTACAACTGTTAAAATGTTAATAAACTGTAATTGAAAGAACTGTGTTAACCTAAATAAAACACAAATTTCTGAGTGCCTCATAAAAACAATCAGATTGAACGCATGGCTCATTTTGCCAGTGATACGGTTAGAGCATCCTTAGATGTATAGAAAACAGATGATACATGTTGATAGGCTATTATGGCCATTCACAGCTAGAGATACATACACATAAAAGAGCTATATTCATTGGGTTGATGTCTTTTTTTCCTCTGAATATCACTGAAGAGATAAAGCTATTTGTATTAATTTTTTGCTCTGTGTTCTTTGGCTTTTCCGATC